AAAAGTCACAGTATCGCCTCAGATGTACCTGCCAGGGGCATGAGATCCCGGGGAATGACTCAGGATTGTTCATGGTGTCCATGTTCAGAAGTAGCCTCCAGTGATGGTCGCCTAGCCAAATTGTTCTGTGCAATGACTTTTTGCTGAAGGTCAGATAGCATGTATATTTATATGATAGAGCTAGGATTTAAATCTGCTTATCAGGGACCAAAGACCCACTCCAGTCTCCTTTAACACCTTCCCCAGAGGAGAGGGGGAGGACCCCAGGACTTTGAGTGCCTCTGGAGGCTCTAGAAAAGGCAATTATTCCAGAGTGGAGCCCCAGCAGCAGATGAGGTTCTAACCCCACCCCCCTGTGATCCAACAGAGAGTGGAGACCAGATCAAGTTCTATGGGTTCTGGGCACTTGCTCACCATCCCAGTCCCTGATCTGGAGAAGCAGGCACACAGCCTTGGAAAGAATGGATAAGTACGGTGAGTGGGGCTGGTGGTAGGCAGGGGCCAGAGGATGGGGCATCATGACCCCAGCCTGAACCAACTCACCCATCACCATAGTAACCCCAGAATAGAAGTTGAGCCTTTTCTCAATTACCTATCTTCATAGCTACAAGTCTTCTCCTTTCTCCTTTTTCTTGTTTGGTTGTTTTTTGGTACTGGGGATCGAACCCCGGGCACCTAACCACTAAGCCATATCCCCAGCCCTTTTATTTTTCTATTTTGAGACAGGATCTCACTAAGTTACTTAGGGATGGCCTCACTAAGTTGCCAAGGCTGTCTTTGAACTTGCAGTCCTCCTGCCTCAACCTCCTGAGTCTCTAGGATTACAGGTGTGCACCACCATGCCCAACTTCTTCTTCTGGGATATTCTTGACATCTCCTTTATTTCTAGCTTGCTTCTGTTTGGATCTCTGTCTTCTATGGCCTGGACCATTGTAATGACTCTTAAGTAGTTCTCCTCCATCTTGTCAGAGGGAACATCCTAAAACAGCTCTGAGCATGTCCCTCCATCAGATTGTTCAGTGGTGTCCACTGATGAAGGACAAGCTGGACTCCAAGTCCCATCCTTCTTTTTCAAACCCATTTTCTGCTCCCCTATCTCCTTAAATGTCCCCAGCACTCCTTTCTGGCTGCATACCAGGCTTGGCCTTTCAAAACCAGAAGACTATTTAATCTGTT